GCAGTCTCTATGCATAAAATAAATGAAGCCCGTCATCTGAGAGTAGGAAATCAGAAAGGCAAGATTATGGGGAGAATCTTTGGGTTCTTTCCTTCTATTCTCCATAATTTGTCTTGGAATGTGATGGCAGGTAGAAAGCAGGAGGCAGAAGGTACCAGGAAGCACACGTGCACAAAAATACGTGTTTAGGTTCGGGCATGATTTCAAAGTGGTGTTTGTGGGCAGAGATGCTGTTGCTAATATGTACTTGTATGCCCACATTTCCCCATGACACCAATTGGCTTTGTCGTCATTGGCTCTAAATATGCAATGTAAAAGGACTACCAGTCCGATACTGAAGTTTATTCAAGTCAGTGATTCCAAACTTTAAATTTATGACATCATGTTATTTAATTTTGTAACATCAAAATGCTTTCTTTTTGGTGTCGGCCAGGTGCCATAGTGGTTAAGTTTATGCGCTCCGCTTCAGCAGCCCTGGGTTTGTGGGTCTGGATCCCGGGTGTGGACCTAGCACCGCTTATCAAGCCATGCTGTGGTGGCATCTCACATACAAAATAGAGGAAGATGGGCACAAATGTTAGCTTCGTGACGTTCGTCCTCAAGCAAAAAAAAAAAAGCTTTCTTTAAAATTTTTAAATATTTATGCTTATACTTTACTTATATTGCACAATGTTCCTTAAGACAATCTTAGAGAGGTATATGCCTATGTTTAAAGAAAAAATCAGCTTGGAATCTTCTCAGCCATATCTGGAGCAGAATAGTTATTTCTGCCTTTATTTGGAAATATAAAAATTGTATATATTTTGTAGTCTCCATTAACAGATACTGAGGACGGATAGTACACCATCATTTGCTGGGCTCGTGGTGTGAGTATAGCTGTTTTACTTTTGATACTTTAGGGGTTGAGTGATTTTAGTCCAGGAAACAACTTTATACTACCTCTCCAGCAGAAACACCACCATTATTTGTAGTGACCTACCTACCAATGCAACTGACTTCATAACAATAAATGCTTAATATGTGTCAGGCACTGTGAGGCTACAAAATATATATATGACTTTTATATTCCAAATGTATAAATAATACTGTGTTCTACTAGAGGTGTGCTTGAGGCAGAAGATTTCACACTAATTTTTTTTAAATGTCTATAAACACACTCCCTCTAAGGTTCTATTTTAAAGGATTTGGCATATATGTCCTAAGCAGCTTTCATATATTAACTCACTTAATACTCATAATCATACTGTGGTATAAGTGCTATAGCTAGGTTATAAATAAGACAGAGGCCCAGAGATGTTAAGTAATTTCATCCTCCTTATACCACATGTCTTTTTTCTTTGCTGTATTTTACAAGATGTAGTATGCAGCCAGTCTAGCAACCAAGCCAGGCAGTCTGCCTCAAGTCTATGCACTTCACATCAAAGCTGTACTGTGGGGCTGGCCCCATGGCCAAGTGGCTAAGTTCCTCCAGTCCGCTTTGGTGGCCCAGGGTTTCACCAGTCGGATCCACTCGTTAGGCCACGCTGAGGTGGCGTCCCACATGCCACAACTAGAAGGACTCACAACTAAAATATACAGCTATGTACTCGGGGGATTTGGGGAGAAAAAGCAGGGGAAAAAAAAGATTGGCAACAGTTGTTAGCTCAGGTGCCAATCTTTAAAAAAAAAAAAACGCTGTACTGTCTCCCAATGTAATCATTTATGTTTCTTTTATCACAGAGTTCACTAAAAATACCATTCTTTAATAATAAACATTTTTTAAAACTTTTATAACCTTTACGAAAAACTTCCTATTTTAGTAAAATTTAATAATTGTTTAAAATTGTTTTTCTTGAATACATTTGTTCAAAGACCTGCAACCTATAGCTAACTCATCAGAAAGTAGTAGCACACCGAACAGTCCTTTCAGGTATCCACGCTGACTTTGCAACACCTGTCACAGGTGATATCTTTGCCCACTTATGGGCTGTTTGTATGGTAAGGAGCAGTGTATCCACATTTGATTACTTCCCTCATCCCCTCTCTCCTAAGGTGTCACAGGAAATTTTAACACTGCCAATAATAATTACACTAATAAACAGAAGATACTTAAAATTCTTTTACTTGTCAAAAAAAGGGAGTTTAATATGGTTTGATAAATTGAGTCTAAGTCTTCAGAATGTTAAAATTTAGGTCTTCCAGTATTCTACATAGATTAATAGTTTATCCCTTGCAGTAAATTATATTGCAGGTGGTACCAAGTGACTGCATCTAAAATTAGTGTATAACCCTGTGAGGTCAATCAGGAAGCAGTTTCTATTTTCAGATATAGCTTGTTGATTGGACATTTTCTTTACAAATTATGGTTATCAACATTTAAAATTTCCAATTTAAACCTTGATTTTTAGATTAATGAACAGTCTTGTGAAAGGTTACCATCTGAATGTTCCATATTTCTTGTTAAACTACCACGTGTTCTTTTGTCACAAGCAGATTTTTTGGTCCTATTTGCAAATGTATATCAGTAGACAGGCACACCCCAGGCATATGATATATAAAGAATGGATGTCAGAGTTTGATCACAAGTATTTTTACAAGGATTACATCAGGATTTGTTGTAAAACATGATTCAAAAAGGCATACCTCACCTTGTCAAATGTGGCAAAGGGAAAAAAATACATGGTATAAAAATGATTGAGTCTTCTTTAGAAGCAAAGAATTCTAAATATAAATGTGCTTCCACAGATAATAACTTTTGTTGTCATAAGCACATCTACGTTATCCCAACATCTAGGGCTTTAACCAACTTCTATATTCAGCTGATTCTAAGTGAATTTATTCCTGACATAATTCTTTTCTGTATTGTAGGCATAGCTCTGAGCCAGCATTAGTGTCAATTCCAGAATATACTTATGAACTGTGACATATTTTATTCTGTGAAAAGCTTTATATTTCAGTATTAGCAGTATTTGTCTCCAAGGCTATTAGACATTTTCTGTAATTTCATTCTACTTTATTTTTAACATTGTTTTTGTTTAACAAAGCAGTACTCCTCTCACAATTTTAAGCTAGATTCAGATTCTTATGAGACTTGTTCTTTCTTCCTTCTTATTTACAAATTGTTTACTGAAAACTACTCCTATTTTCATAGCGATTTGCCTCTGAAAGTAGTTGTTCATAATTGAGGCCGATTTTCTCTTGTAGGAATTCACAGCTGTGAAGAGAAAGTTCTTTCTCGGTGGGTTAACAAGCAGGCTTTTGTGAGAATTCTCGAATGGAATATTTCTCATGATTAAAGGGTCAGAGACTGAGTCTGTTGTTCTGGGTGCTAACAGAACCAAGCCACCTGCAGCTGAGCATTGAAAACTCAGGAAAGCCGAATTCACTTAAGGTCGTCTTTTTTGTAATGAGTACTTTGAAAGCAATCATTTTTCTTAAAAAATTAAAATTGAGATATGACCTTTGGATCACATCAGAGGTTTTAACATAAGGAAAGCTTCTCATTGAAGCACGCAGTCAAAATCAAACTCAGGCAGCATTCCCCAGACAGCACAGCTCTGTGCAGTCTATTGATAGCACACAAAATTTAACCAGCAAAAGTGAAGCCTGTTGCTATCCCTCTAATTTGTGTTAACTCCTCTTTATTGTTCCATTTTGCTTATTAATCACTCTATTCATAACAATCCCAAGATTTCGGGGAAATGAATACCTGCTATAGGAAATCACTGCTCTCAGTCCAACCCAAGCCACTATCAACTTTCTTAATGGTATCCCTGCTTCCACTCTAGACTAGCTAACTACTCTGTGTACTGTGTGGTTAAGAGCACTAACCTAACCTACCTGGGCTTAAATCCTGGCTCTGCCATAGCTGCATGGCCTTGAGTGAGCTCTTTAATCTGTTGTTTCAGTTTTCCCCCTCTATAAAATGAGGATAGTACTTACCTCATATGGTTGCTCTGAGGATTAGTTAACATAATGTTCCTTAAACATAAAGTTCCTTAAACAACGGGTACTGTAAGCGCTATTAAATGCTAAATAAAGTCTTAACACACCAACCAGGAAAACCTTCATAGAATAAGTCAGATCCTACTCACTTGGTCAGCCTCCTCTAAATAGCTTCATGCTTAAAAAATAAAATCTGGACTCCTAAGGCCAATAAGCCTACCTCTGTGACTTCATCTCCCATTATTACTCTCTCTGCTTGCTCTCTTCCAGCTCCATTAGCCTGCTCCCCAGAGACACTGAGCAGTTCTGCTCCAAGGCCTTTGCACTTGCAAATCCCTTTTCCTGGAACACTTCCCCCCATCACTCTCTCGGGTAACTGGGCAAATATTCAGAGGCCTGCTCCATCTAAGATAGCACACCCTCAACACCCGGGCCTGTTGTCTAGTCCCTTGTCTTGTCTTTGTAGCACTAGCACCCCTGACATTATATTGACTAGTCTTTCTCCCGTAACTAGAATGTGAACTGAGTCCAGGGACTTTATTTTGGTCACGCCCGTAGTGCCTCACCTAGACCTCCTGGGCTGGTAGTGTTTAGTAAATATTTACTGGAAACTGGATAGATGCTGGGTTAAAACAATTGATGCTTTTCTCCTGAAGACTACTGACCTTAACTTACTACGCGTTTTTGGGGTGGGGGGAGGGAGGTATGCACTTAACATCTACTCCCCTATTTTCACTTAATCCTGGTTTTCTCATTGGGCCACCACTCACTTTAGAAAGATAAACTTTGGCCTTTTAGAAATAAACATTAAATAAACACAAGATTCTTATTTGCAAAGTAAAGGGGATAAGGAACACAACAAAAATGTTGCCATTGTTTTCAAAGGGAAGTGTTAAGTACTGTTTAGTAAATTGAATTATAGACTTAGCCAGATTTTTTGAACATTGTTTTTAATGATAACATATCCACCTATAAAAATCTATGGAGATTTCAGATCAGATTATGAATGGGTAGTAGTTTATGACTAAAGCGTATATACTTAGTTGCAATGACGTTTTTACTTTTCTCTTTTGCAGATTAATGACGAGAGAGAGTGAGATCAGATTTGTCCACAAGGAGATGGGTATAGTGCCAAGTTGGGGTGGTGCTGCCCGGCTGGTCAACATAATTGGCAACAGAGAAGCTCTCAAAGTGTTAACTGGGGCCCTCAAACTGGATTCAAAAAAAGCTTTAGACATAGGAATGGTCGAAGAGGTCTTGCAGTCTTCAGATGAAACTGAATCTCTAGAAGAGGCACAAGAGTGGCTAAAGCAGTTTATCAAAGGGCCACCGGAAGTAATTAGAGCTTTGAAAAGATCTGTTTCTTCAGGCAAAGAGCTTTGTTTAGAAGAGGCATTACAGAACGAAAGAGATCTTTTAGGAACACTTTGGGGTGGACCTGCAAATTTAGAGGCTATTGCTAGGAGAGCAAAATTTAATAAATAGTTTTTTAAAATATGATGTACTACAACTAAAACTCCAATGATTAATGTGTATAAAAATCAAATGACATTAAATATGAATGTCAGAATTACTTTGAAGGCTACCACTGGTATTTGGGTTTGTTTTTAATAATTTTTTGAGTACCCAATCTCGCTGGCCTAGTTGTCAGTATATTTGGTTATTTACCAAGTAATCTGGAACATTTGGCTATACAAAACTTTTGGCTTAAAAATTGTTATCAATTCTCAAATTCCCATAATAGTTCTTAGCCTATAACTGAAGATCACTTTTCAAAAGGAAAAACTTGTACATAAAACCTATTCCTGGGGTTATTTTTCATGAAGTCTTTGTTCTGTCTTACCTGGGAACAACTTATAAAAATAACTGAATGAACCTTGCAGCTGAAGAACAACAGTGGAGAGGGATCGGGGACAAGACTATAAGGAAAGATACGATCAATCATTTTTTTCTGCTCTATGCAGCTGGAATAAAGAAATCACAGGGAATGGCCCTTCTTTTAAATAAAGATGCTTCCCACCTCACCCACCTACAAATCTGGAGCCTTATTTATTTGATCTTTTTAATAAATAGTTTTCTTCTATTTTAGATTATCTATTGAACAGTGATAGCCCCCACATGGAAAGTTTATTGATGGTACAAAATTGCACATTCATTTGTATGTCCTGGAATTTCTAAACAAGTAGTAAGTAGTACTGTTTATGTAGTAATAAAATTTAACTCCACATCAAAACTGCCTAAGACTTCAAAGGGACTCAGGAAGCATCCTGTAACATATATTTGCATTTTACATCAGATTTCTATTTTTTTCTCAAAAGTAACTAGCCTTTCTTCTTTTGATAACTGGCATCTTTTAAAAGTAAATTTAATAAAAATGTATAACTCAAACTTTTATGATCATCTCAGTAATAGACTTTAAAAAACATATGTCAAAGAATGAAGTCCCAATTCTAACCTATCACAACAAGAGGTAAAAGATAGTTTTAAAGTAGTGAGTTTTTATTTGCTATTGTAACATTCAATTCACATTTGAAAATCACATTAAAAATAATTTGCATATGCTTCATCAATATGATCTTACTGTTCTGAGTTAGGAAAATAGAGACAAACTCCCATTACTCTTTTTCAGAACCAAATTCCAGATTACCAAATTAACCCAACACTTTCTACCGTGCCCTAGATTCTACAACATTTTGTGTAAAGTGAATTTGTGTCTACTAATGCTGTTTATAAATAAGTCTAGCATTTAATTCAGATTAGTGTTAGATCACTAATGAAGACCGGCAAGGAAAATCTAAAACATATGTGGTCTCTACTATCAGTTATTTAAGCAATTTAAGTCTCACAGGCTCTAGGTTTACTGCCATACATGTTTATTCCATGCATATTGCCTGTAGATTAGATTGTGTTTAAATATCCTCTGTAAAGAAATCAAACATTTCTGAGCAGGTGACTCTTTAAGCTGAATATCATTAATTCAAAACACCACCTTTTTAGTGACCTTTGGCCACCAATGTCAAAATGTTTCCATCCCCTTTCCAGACTCAAACAAGAGACAAATTATTTTTGATAAACTCTAGTATTTATTAAATTATAAATTCTGTAATCAAAGAACAATGCAAATCAAGAGAACCTCAAACTACGAGGACTAGACAGCAAAGCCCATGGGGTGCCATGAGTGAGCTACAGATGGGATTCCGAATCCTAAGGTATCAGCTGGTGTCTTTACATGTCCAGCTCAGTGACTACTGTTAAATAGTTGTTAGTCATCTATTCTCACATTAATTAAGCTTCCTGTTCATACTGATACCAGACATCTCATAGGTGCCAAATTTTAGTAATGGTTTTATGTCAATCCATGCAGAAAAAAAAAGACAAAATGCAAGAGTCAGATGGGACTGTCAATGCACAGATAATACACAGACGCTGGCCAAAAGAACTGAAGAAATTTTTTTAAAAACTATAAAATAAACAGGCCTCAAGAAAACTGGGTTATTACTAAAGAGCTCTCAACTATTAACACCCCAGTTCCTTACATTAAATAAATTTCTCAACAGAGACATGTTAGACGTTTTAATTACAGGCCTATCCTTCCCATACCCCTTCCCACCCCAACTCCCGAAATGCACTACTAGGGATGAGTGTGTAAGGTTACGTGGGCAAAAATTTACAGATAACCTTGAGCATGGAGCTGAAGACTTAATTTATTTAAACTTCAGTTACTGTGCACTGTCCATCAGGCCTTCTAGATCTGACACTCACTGTTCCACCCCCTGCTACTGATCGATCAGTTCCTGATCGATCTGATACTGTCTGGTTTGCATTAGGAACCAAAAGTCTCTGTTGGGTCAAGGAGTGTTGTGCAACAAGTGCAGATACATCCTCACTATCACTACTGGCGTCTGATTCGGTTTCTTCAATGGAGATGTCTGCTGCTGGTACCCTGCCTGAAGATGGTGATTCATGATCTTCTTCTCCTTCCCCCCTATGACTCCTTTCAGCTATGCTGTCTCCACTGAGTTGTAAATGAGCAAAAGAGTCTTCCAGAGAAGTGTTTGCATCAGGGGATGGTGTTGCAGGGCTTGTTAACTGACCATCTACTGACGTCAGGGGCCTTACAGAAGACACTAGGGGCTGAACAGAAGCTCCGCTCTGTGCTGATACACTGTCCGCTCCATCAGCAGAGCTCTCTCTCGCGAGGTTTACGGTATTAGCATCACAGTCCAGCCTAAGTCCGGCTACTCCCTTCTTTGGTATGTCTATTATATCTCGTTTAATCTTCCTGCGACGTCCATGTTCATTTCTCCTGTATTGAACCATATTTTCAAGATCAGCAACATACAGAAACCCGGCAATTAACATTTCAGTACTCTTTTTACCTTTGGAAAAAGCATCTTCCAGCTCTCTACTAGTGCGCTCATCATACTGCCACCATCCATTTCTTCCTTCATAATACCATGCATATTCACCATTTCCTCTACTTGCTGCCTTGAGTTCTTCTGGTGACAATAAGGTTGGCTTGTCAAGGAAATCCTCGGGAATTTCTTGTCGGCAGAGGGCACATCGTTTTCCAAGCCATGACGCTCCCTTTACACACAGATAGCAGAAAACATGCTTACAAGGCAGGCTGACTGGGTGAACACATGTTTGCAGACAAATGGCACATTCAGGGACAGTCAGAGAAGGCGCAGTATTGGAACAGGACTCATTCGCTTTCCTGTTCGTAGGAAGCATGTTTATTGAGTGATCAATTTCACCACAGCCAGCCATCCTATGAAAGTGAGAAAAAATACGTATAATATGAAAATCGTGTTTTAACTCTTCCAATATCTTAATTCAACAATTCAGAAAACACTTACGAAGTACCTTTTATATGCATTATATGCAAGCCACATACTAGACAATGGTGATACAAAGATGAAAGTAGAGGAAAAAAACTCTTAACTTGTGTACAAAAATCTTTTTGATTTGTATGCCTTTAACTTTTACTTGTCAGGGGCAATGAGGCATACAATTGTTAGACAAAAAAAAAAAAATCCAATCACAGATTTTAAATAAATATACCATTTCTACTCAGTCACAGAACTCTTCAGATAGAATTAGGGGCCAACCCCATGGCCGAGCAGTTAAGTTCATGTGCTCCACTTCGGTGGCCCGGGATTCTGCCAGTTCGGATCCTGGGCACGGATATGGCACCACTCATTAGGCTACGCTGAGGCGGTGTCCCACATAGCACAACCAGAGGCACTCACAACTAGAATATTCAACTGTATACTGGGGGCGCTTTGGGGAGAAGAAGAAAAAAAGATTGGCAACAGATGTTAGCTCAAGTGCCAATCTTTGAAAAAAAAAAAAAAACTAAATGCAAAGATTTAAAAAGGCACAATCCATTCTAGACTGATTTCACAGTCTGGAAAGTAGTTAGAAAAACAGAAAATGGCTAAAAGTAACTGAAATTACAATTACAGAAAGTGACAATTTTGTAGGCTTTTAGGATATTACTAGGATATTACTAAGTGGCAATTTTGCAAATATTGCCATATATTAATATACTTTTAGTACTTGACAAGTAGACCATATGAAATTAAGACCAAAGCTGAAATCTAAGAAGTTCCCTTTCCCTTCTGTATATCTAAAAACACTGGTTAGACCAGTCATTTCATTCCCCTCCATGAAGATCTCTCTTCTAATGGCCTTTGTTGTTGCCTTTTCCTAAACTATATGCTCTTCTTGCTGTACTCTTTCAAGATCATCTCATCTATACTCATGGCTTCAACTGTTACCTATATACAAATGACTCACAGATTGCTATCATCATTTCAGGTCTCTTCTTGGATGTCTTAAAGGCACAAGAACTAAACTCATGATCTGTTTCCTCCTTATTTATTCCCTAAAAGCCCCTCTGGTGACACCACTATCCATCTGCTTATCCAAGCCAAAAAGCCACCATTGAAACTGCCCTTCTCCTACCCCTCCCCATCCAAAACATCAGGTCTTATCAACTGTCTCCTAAATATCTCCTGAATCTATCTACTATCCATCTCTCTCTTTCCCTAGCCACCAAGTAAACACTGCTTATTAAATTATTGTATACGCTTTTTAATTGGTCCAGCCTTACCCCTTCCTTAAAAATGTTGACTTTTGGATAAAGACCAGGATATGTACACCCTGCGTGATCGGGCCCCCACTCCTATGCCAGCCTGGCCTCATCTCATATCAAACCTCCCTTTGATCAGGCTTCCAGCCATACTAGCTATTCTCTCCAAACCTAGGTTTTCTTTCTATGGAAGATTTCCTTACTTCCTGCCTCCCACCACCCACCATGGGCAAACTACTACCCATGTTATACCCCTCTTGAAAAAGCCTCCATGACTAGGCCAAATCATCCTAGTTTTTTAACTTCTTGCTACTATGCACTTGTCATTCCTAGCAGTTATGAGAATTGCGATGTTGTACTTATTTGTGTGATTACTTTGTTATTGTCAGTCTTCCCTTAAAGCAAGTGGGCTTTAAAGGGGCAGGGGACAGATCACTTCTGGCTCATCTCTGTATTCCCATGTGGGATCTGGCAGATAGAGAACATTCAATATTTGCTAAGAAAATGAATATAAATTTTCAAAGAATAATATGAATATGTGATACTATAAAATAGATTTCTAGGTTTTATTTTATTTTAAATAACAGCAAGTTAAGCCACTGGACTGATAAATATTTTTTTAAAGCATTTACTTGAGCATACCTTGGGAATGTACAAAAATTGTCAGTGCATTTAAAGATCAGCCCTGAAGAAGCAAACTGAAGACTACATAATGAATAGCTGCAGCTGGCTAAGGGCCAAAGGATACTTTGGCTTAAGGCAGCTGTTATACAGTGACACCAGTGCTGGGCTAAATTAAACCCTTTGTCTAAATTTCCTTACCTGCAAATCAGAGTTTATAAAACTTATGTGAAAAGAGTCAAAAATACACTTTGTAATCACCAAAGCTCCACACCCGTTACAATCATGCAAGACCAAGGGGAAAAATGACATGAATATCCAAGTTGCCCTGAAGAGGAAGGAGAGAGAGAGAAAAAAGTCTGTCAAGTTGGAATTTATGGGGCTTAAATGCTGGCATAAAATTTGGAACTTCTGCCTTATTGATTCAGATCAACATTTATTAAACAACTACTACGGTCCATATACAATGCTGAGTACTGATAGATTTAAAGATGAGTAAGACACACA